AGAATCTCCAAGGCGCGTAAACATACGAGAGAAATGAAAACCTCGTTTATACAATGGAGTCGCCTCAGAGTAACAATGAACTGGAATATCAAGATTCCAATCTTTTATGGTCTGAAGTGAAGACCTCATGCAACAGAGGCATGCAGAAAGAATCTCTTCATTTTAACGTCTACCTCTAGTCTCAACTCCAGAAAATGTACTGAATGCAGAACCTATGAATCTCCTAAGCAGAAATCCGCCTAATTGATGCCTCAAGACATCAAAGAAGATGCTGAAGTTCAATCGGAGCACCGGACACCGTATGCTGATGGCGTAAGAAGCGCGGAAGATTTTGGTGACATACACCTTATTTCCCTTATTATCCAGCAGATGGTTCCTTGCAGATGACATGAAAATGTTCAATGAGCTTAAGGTGATTGTGATTGTGATTTGAGCCTAATTCTTCCTGAAGCATTTCCTGCGAATCTGGCCTTGAGATCCTGTCACAACCCTTCCCATTTTCTGCATAGCAAGTCCGAACTGAGCAAAAATCTTCGATTGAGGAGACGTCGCAAGGTCAACTACCTGCGAGAGGCCCTTGCTCGTGGAAACGAGAGCATCATCGGACTTCAGAATGGCATTGCGCTGCAGAACGTTGACGTAGTAGTTTTTGTCGAAGGTCTGGCCACCCTGGGTAGGATCGAAAGTAATCAATTAGCTGGCGGCACTTTTGGAGTTGGGGCACAGTCCTCTCTTCTTCTGCTGGACGAACGCGTTATTCAGGTCTTGCTGCAGGGGGAGTTGTAGATGCGGGGAATGGCTTTGCTGCAGTGGGTTACTCCAGTAGTGTGTGCCCCTGCATAGCACCACAGAATGAATCAGCTCCACTTCTTACGAAACATCTCCACGAAATTATTATTGCAGTGTGTCGGATCGGTAACTGACTGCATCGGTACTAGTGACCGAGCGATTGACATTCAGAAAGTGATCAAATACAGAGCAGATCCATCACGTGTACAGCTGCTGTGCGTACTCAACCTGAGAGGACAACCATGTCTGTTTCAGTGAGACACTTTTTGGCGAAAGTTCTGGACAGCCCCCTGAAGCTGGTTTAGTCACTCGGAAGGTGGCTACTTGCTTCACTTGCGAGTGATACTAATCCATCCCTGCGGCCCAGAGGAACCCTCCACTTCGGTCCTCCAATCTGCACACTATACCCAAGCCTCAGTCACTAGTTTCAGCAAGTTGTGGTGATTCACTTGAAGCAACAAATTGTGGGCGTACCAGTGTCATGGCAGTCCTAGAGGCATCAAAACCGATTGATTTTCAAAGACCTTTCCTTTTCAGGATTAAAAGAGGAGAAATGAGTTTCGATCGCCAGTTCAGTTCTCAACGATAGATTTTTTATCATGGAGTTACATGTTTCCAAAAACTTATACAGCCAGATTTCTGCACTCGGAAATCTGTCTCGTTTTCAGTCACAATTTGTGACTGAAAACGAGAGAAAGTGAGGACAGAAGTTTTTTGAAATGGTCGGACTTGGACTCGGACCCGATCCAACTTACCAGTTTACTTCAGGGGATCACAGGAGTCTGGATCCTATGCGGTTACAGACAATTTCCTCATGACGATGAAAGGAGGTAAGAGAGCTTACCGCCCTGACGGCATCTCTTGCAGCCAGAGCGAGGAGTCGGAGCAGGAAAAGACACCAGGGCAGATGTTCTCAATTGCTGCCTAGCTTGATCGATGAATCCAAATCCTTGCAGCGATAGATTTGGGTCGGCGTCCTTTTCTGCCGTGTTATTGGCAGTAGAGAGCAATAGAACACAGGAATCGCATCCCTGCACGAACACAAGTCAATACGGTCAACACAACCAGAATAGAAGTAAAGACTGTCATGAATCATTGACTCCCAGATCATCCATTCTACTTTTCCATGTCCCAAGCATTGCGTAAGGAGTATGACACCAGTCTATTTATATATGTGTGGAACTTGCCCGGACGAAGAAATGCACGCGCAGAAGGCCAGCTGCAGTTCTTCTGTCACTTTTAACGGCGCTGTTGACGGATTTGGCTACCGCTTGCACAGTTCCAGGACAGATTCTGGAATGGAAACTCTCGGAAAATTGAGCATCGGCTGTTGCAGCCAGCAAGAAGACACATGCCACGAAAAGAAACTGCAGGGAAGACATTTTTATCGCCATGTTGACGAACCTGTCACGCATGCGTGAGAAGTGTTAGGTACCTGGAGTGGCAGGAGTAAGACGGAATTGAGATCAGGCCATCATCAACTGTCACGCAAATAATGTCTACACAATGATTCCATCCCAAAAATAGCAGATAACACGATCGACTTTACCAGTGACCAAACCTTGATTTGGATGTGGAACTCTTGAACAACAAAATCAGGAGTTTCTCTTACGAGAAACTAAGGCTAGATGGTGAAAGGAACCGGAATCATGATTTTAACTTGACTGTGCTGCTCTTTATACCCCTTCTGGACATGGGCACAACTCTTTGACTAAGATCCCGAGATACAGTCACACCGTAACAATGGGCGCCGAAAGCTTTTGAATATTATGTCTTTTTTACGCCAGAAAGCTTCGATGTGACAATAGTATACACATTTCAGCACATTCCAACTCTCGATTCATGCAGAGAAACAGCAAATTAAACGTATAATGTCTCCTCATTCTTAGAATGTGGACTCGGCGGAGATTATGCCTTCTCCCCGCTTACAAGCCTGGATGATAATGACATTGTAGTTTCAGATTGAACGCAATTAAAGGAGTCTCAGACCTTTGTGTACTCACGAACTGCCAAGGATCAGAATCTCACGGACACCATTCAGAATCTCGACGTTGTAAACATCAAGTGTTTGATTTCGAGTCCATTAAGGCGCTCGAATTTCGACGTGTCACATCAGGTAAAGACCTGGACTGACGAAGAGTCAAAGCATCAAGGCATGTGGCGACCTCCAATGGACCTGGTACAGTACACCTTGCTAGTGGAAATAAATTCAGTTCGGAGGAATCACAGGTTCTTTAACTCACAGTTAATAACTATCGAATGACGAGTAAATTTGACTTCCTTTTCGGATCAAGGCTAGTGAATTTATCACGGAGTATATTTGCAGTTCGGGCTTAGATTCTAGTGAACAATTTCAACAGAAACGGATCTCTTCGTTGCAGTTTAATTTTACAATCCAAATTTGTACATGTCAGTCAGATGTGACTGTTGGAACGAAGTTGCGCATTCTTTGGTTACTGGACTTGTACAGATGTACCGTTTCTGTTGAATAAAACAGAGTGTTAGTCCTATATATATCAGCACAGCCTCATAGGGATGGAATTTCCATAAGTTTTCAAAGTTGAGCAGGAAGATTAGAGTACAATTTCTCAAGCTAAACCGTAGACTATCACAAAATTATGAAAGTTGATCGTTAAGATTCGACAAAGATGTGATATTATACAGATTCATTCAAGTCAATAAGCTAGATTTTAAAAATAAAATAAAAGAGAAGATGGGAAGACCCATCTTCTTTTTTACATGGATGAAACCAAAAGGGTAAGAAGTGGCTAGCCCCTATATCAATGCATAAAATGTGTCATGTTGCAGCTAAAATATCATAATTATCTAGGTCAAAAAATCTACAAATTACATAAACTAAAAATCATCACTAACTCGATTGCTCTCCTGTAGACTCTCGGTCATCGTTGTTCTCTAGGTTATTTATTCTCGCCAACTCATGTTGAGGTATGCAAGGGAAAATCTACAGTAGCCACAAGAACCAAAAAAGAGTACAAGCTGCTGGAAGCACTAGTGTCATCGGTGACATACCAAGGTTTGAGATAAAAAGAAAAATACCACCTTAATGAACATGAACAAAACAGAAGCATCTTTCTTGTACCAAGTTCCGTAATACCAGACCTTATCATGAGACTTACGTGCAGTAGACTCCTTGCGTACAATCACTCTGTGCTGCCACCTCGTGGAGTCCTGATCACTGATTGTGAACTTCGGTGTTTCGTTACAATTATTAAGCAGCGCCGTCAAATTTATATATAGACTGCACATTGATTATCATCGTAATCAACTTCATTTCGCGTGATTCACATGTCCCAATCTCTATCGAGAATTAGTGGTTTGCGGCTTCGACGACTGAAGTGGGCCTCCATACATTCATTTCATGCATATCACAGTCGGAGGAACAAATAGCCTAAACCCAACACTCTGGCGCTTCACAGCCTGTTTGAATGATGTCACCATTCTAGCTTACACGGAATTCTGTTGTGAAGAAGCTCCGCACTGCAAAATGAGGCACAGGTTTTCGAGAGGTTTGCAAATTGCGCACATGATTTCAACTGCACGATGAGACTATCGATTGGCCTTCGCCTGCACGTATTCCACGGAAATTGTCATACCAGCTGGAGAGGTGTCATTACGGGGCTTCATGTTGGATAGCTGTTTCAACTCGGAGTTGTTAGTCTGGGGTCCTGGAAGCAGAAATACTCCTCCCCAATGGAAATTGTTCACATCTGTCTCACATCTGGACAGGCAGTTCCGCCGACTATCAAGTTTGGTCTCCGACTATCAAGTTTGGTCTCCAAACCTTCATGCTGACTGGAAAACACGTTTTCTTTCAGTCTTTGGCGACGGTCCACTAGACTATCGAGCTAACGTAGTATTCGCAAAACTCAGTGGCGATTGTCTTTTACTATGAACTAGCTTTCGATGAGAATCCGGCAGGAACGTGGATATACTACATGTACAAGGAGCGATTGAGTTCATGTTCAAATTGGAAACCTGCGTTGAGGAAGATTTTCACTGTAACGAGGATGCTGACGGTAGCATCTGCGTGCGCTGTGGCGGCACGCACTGAGGTTCGACGTCAGTCCCTTCTTCGAAACCCGAGATTTTTCTGAACCCTTAGGAAAACATGCATTAGCACTTGACTCATTCTCATCTCTAGCCGTTACACCAATTTCACTTTATAAAATCAATTCTTAACGATGCGTCAAGTCAGGATGGCCGAGTGGTCTAAGGCGCTCGATACAAGTTCGTGTTTCGTGAGGGGCGTGGGTTCATATCTCCCTTCTGACATCTTGCAAACAAGCCGGTCATAGGGCGAGCTTGTAACAGAACTACTCTCACAAATTTTGGAAACCTCAGTAATGCTCATTCCAAGGGAGGAATTCGATGTTCAGGAAATTTGTTTGTACAATTATTTCTTTCACCCGATTCCTGTGTTTTCCTCGAAAGCTGATGATGCACATTTGGTTGGTTGATTCAGAGGCAGTCTGTTGCTGTGAGGAATTGATCTGGAGTCGCGGAATTGCTCACAAGTCCGAGGGCTTTTTCTTTGAAACATTGCGACGTGCATTCCTTTTCATGCACTTGCGGCACTTTGTTTTCATGCTGCAATCAATGAGTCAGATAGAGCCGGGTCTCTAAAGAGACTGGATACCGACGCATTTTGGTTTGGAGCACCGAGGACTTGGAAGTGGACCTTTCTGTAGTAAATCACATCTGCAGCTGAAGGCATTCTGCCTTTGTGGGGTTGAAACATGAGTTGTTCTCGTGCAGGAAAAGCCCACTCCAATAAGAAGTTGTTGATAGCGTGCACGATGTCATCACTAGCAGGGATTCAGCTCTGCTAAAGTTGCTTGCCATAAGGACCCGAACGGGGCTAATTGAGGTTAGTTCTTGCGATAGGCAGACAAATCTTGCAGATTCAAATGAACTTGGCTCAACTTCAGTCATCGCGCTACTTGTCCGGGACTTCGAGCACTAAAAGGAATACATCAATACCAAGAAGATACATGCCGAGACTGTGAAAGCGAGGCCAGAACAACCCAGCCCTGCGGGCAAGGAAACCATGGGGCAAATTCCTTTTAAGTATGCCCTCCACCTCCTCAGACGAAGTGGCCGAGACCAGACATGAACTGTAAGCGGCGGCCGGGGCAGAAGGCGGATCGTCTTGTTGAGAGCCGAAGTTAGCACAGCTAATTTACAGTAGGCTTTGTAGAATATGCAGAGATTCACGATTGGAAAGAGGGCCTACGAACTCGAATACGCAGATTCCAATGCTGGGTAGTCGAGAATGGTACTTTCGCTTGTCCCTTTACTTTTCCAGTGTCGGTACAAGAGGCTGTTCTGTTCACGTTCCATGCTGTTCTCTACAGAAAGTTGTAATGAACAGTTAAAATGTGACCTCGTGTGTTCATGTGTTCGTCGATTTTGAAGTCAGGTCATAAAACCCATAAGCTATGTACCCTTGATGACATTTCTGGGTGAATATATTTCTAACCACAACTCCGATGAGGTATACCTTTCTCGGCCTTTTGGCTAAGATCAAGTGTAGTATCTGTTCTTATCAGTTTAATATCTGATACGAGGGTCATCGACCCTCACGATATTAATCTTATTTCTTTCAGGGTGCGATCCCAATCAGGTAGCTTGCTGTCTGGGGACCGCCAGTGTCGCCTTGGTATTGCACTACCTCCTAGGCCGGCGCAGCCCATTCTTCCCCTTGCGGGGAGACCCAAATTATCACAACTAGGATACCAGTACGACTCCAAGTATGAATTGAACTACCAGTTGAAATGAAAGGATTGCGCTCTACACCGCCTAACACGTCATATGCACAGTCCAGATCAGCATTTAGGGGAAGGTATGTTCTGTAGACAAGATCTCGCAGCTCTGGGAGCTGAAGAAGGTTTTCCATTACCTTGTCCAGACCTCTGAATGCGGCATAATGCAGGATAGTCAAACCATCGCAGTGGTTTTCTTTTGACATCTCTTTGAGCATCTGAAGCCTTTCCCCTGTTTCAATCTGTCCTCGTTCTAAAAGCTCTGCCATCGACCACATGAATTCTACCCAAATCGCATCACGATCCTCTCTATTAAAATGTGAACCCTCAGTTCCACAAACAAGGGCTGCACTTTCTAATGCTTCGAACATGGAAGAACCTGCTACTTGACTTCTTTTTACATCAAAACGAGAACAGAACCTGGGCACAACAAGTTATCCTTGGACGTCCTGCTCTTTTCCTGCCCAATACTATAAAGAGGAGTTTCCAAGGACATCTGAAGTGCGATAGTTAAAGCTGATGCTCCATCTCCTGTTCTTTGACAGCAAGTCACGAGTGTTAGCTTCCACTAAGCGTTGCACAATGCCATCATAAACTGGAAAATATTTCTCTATGGCGTAGTGCACAGGAATGACTCCGTCTCGCTCCTCATTCCAGAGAAACTTGAGTACATGCCCGGTATTGGGGTCATAAGCAGTATCCTCCCCCATGGACTTTCGCACAGCCTCACGTAAGACTCCTTCTCCGTCGACGCACATCGCTCCTTTAGCGGTGTAAGTAAACCTCTTTTGTTCTGCAATCAACTCCATATTTAGAAAACATTCAATCAGATGTGAGTGACCTTTCCTTGCTGCCAAATGCAATGGTATATATCCATAAGAGTCCGCTGCAGCTACGTTATATAGAAGGCTACCAAGGATTTAGTTAAAACTGGTGATGCAGTCTTCTAATCTTTCCGGTTCACACTGACAAGCAGCAGCTAGATAATGCAAACCTGTCCGTCCTATGATATTTCCAGCATTAATGTATTCAATTATGGCTAAGTATGCGTCTGTCATGCCCGACAAGTTGAAGAGATTGCACCAGAAGAATCCACCCAAGTCGGTGGTATTTGACTGGATACTCTACGCACTTTCATCCGTACTTACTTACTGGCCCCAAGTCTTCTCCAGGTCAATCTTAGCGACCCGACCAGCAAAGTTGGAACCAGTCCTGTTTATCTGCTGCAAGAATTCTCTCCGTGAATCTTGAAAATAAGTTTTCAAAGCTGGAATTGAGGTTGGGGCTTAGGCCCCAGAAAAATGCATCACATCTTGATTGTGGAAGTGACTTTTCAGCTTTGAAATAAAGCAACATGGTAAGAGGATCTAACAAGAACTCTCGATGTTTCAGAGCTGAACTTCTGTATGCACGTTCAAGAAACGTGACTACTGCAGTGTGATGACCAATCGCAGCCATATGAAGAGCAGTAAGCTGTTCATACGTGCTCTTCTTCTCCATGAGTTGTAGGCGTTCCGAAGCACGTTGAAGACTGTCCGGCTTCAGTCTAGCAGCCTTCTTCTCCAAATCTCCCAACCAGACAGGTTACTCGTTCCAGTAGTCTTCATCACCTTCTTCTGCTAAAAGCAGCTTCAACACCTCAACATGACCATTCTTCGCTGCCATATGAAGGCAACTGAGTCCTTCCTTGTCACATTTCAGAATATCACACTTTGATTCCAAAAGGAGCTTGACACTGTTTGCTTTTCCTTTTTCAGCAGCAAGAATCAGTGCAGTACGTTGGGAATGGCCAGTTACGCTATCTATGAGACTTACGTTAGACTCCAGAATCTTCTCCATCATTCCAGTGAGACCTCTGCTGGCAGCATAATGTAAAGAGTTCCATCCATCATTGTCCTCCACGAGCACATTTGCATTGTGCTCCAACAATACGTTTGTAATTTCGACGCCGTTACTCGCTTTCTCGGCAGCTAATATCAATGCAGTTTTTCCTGCTTTGGTCGTGGTATCCACAATTTCAGGATATGTTCGAAGAATGAACCTCAACGAGCTGAGCAGATCTCTGTTTGTGACATAATGAAGACCATTCCTTCCATCATTGTTGGACATCAGCACATTTCTCTCATGTCTCGCGAGGGTATTAGCCATTTCCATCTGGTCATTAGTAAGAGCCCACATTAATGGTGTTTCACTCATTTCTGTTCTATCATTTAGAATTTCGGGCCTGTGACAAACCTGATAAACTCTCTTCAACACCTCCGAATGCGATCCACGTGCTGCACGGTCTAGGCAACTCAGTCCCTGGTCATCTATCATCATCAGATCGCCTTGTGTTCAAGCAGAATGCTTACGATCTGCTTCTGCCCATTCTTACAAGCTAACATCAATGCTGTTTGATTTTGTTTGGTTTTAGTGTTCACAACTCCTGCACAAGCCTCAAGACATAACTTCAACTCCTTAGAAAGACCTCTACTTGCAGCATAATGAAAACCATTCCATCCAGAAGAGTTCGAGATCGTCACGTTCTCGCCATTTTCCAGTAGAAATCTTACGAGCCCACATCAATGGTGTTTCACCCATTCGTGTTTTAGAATTCATGATTTCTGGTCTGTGACAAGCCTGAATGATCATCCTCAACAAATCCCTATGACCTTCATGTTCTGCATAATCTAGGCAGTTCAGTTTTAAATCATCTACCATCATCACATCCGCCTTGTGTTCAAGCAGCATGCTGACAATTTCTTTGAACCCCTTCTCACAGGCGAGCATCAATGCAGAATGACCAACTTTTCTCTTGACATTCACTATCTGTGGACAAGCTTTAACAACTATATGTGATACTTCAAGATGACCTTCTGAAACAGCATGGTGCAGGCAGGTCAATCCCCTATGGTTTATGATCCTCAGATCTGGCACAATCCAGATCCTCATGATGTAGGTAACCACCAAGGTTATCTATATCATGTCAAGGACATATTCATGATGCAAACATATTACATTTGTATAATGTATAAATGGATGTGGCTTCTTTATATCCAATGAGATTCAACATTGATTATTGGGAGGAAATAATCTATTATGGATCAATTTGGTAATAGTATTTGAATTGATTATCGGTGTGTTTAATGACTGATTTTAATCCTTTACGCAGTGAAAGGTTTGATAAATATTTTGGTCTTTAGATTATGTGTAATTTTTCTAGTTAGTTTATTGGAGCGAGATATAGAAATATAGATGTGATACATTCCATGTCCATAATATGTTACCATTTTAAAGTTTTAGAGCAATAGTATCCTACATGTTGATAAGACATTATGAACTTTAGGTATAAAGCTATAGTAATTGGTTAAATAACTTATCAAACAATTTTGGAGAGAATCTTTTGTTCCAAGAGTGGAAAGAACAAAGAAAGTTCTTCTGATTTTTGCTATGTTGTCACGTTTGGATATTACAACAGAAATATGTGTGATAGATTTATTTGAAGAGATCTACAATTTTGTTGTTATTGTG